GATAGTTACAATTAAGGAAAAATAACGCATCTCCATGCATTTGTTAGAAAAGTCATTATCGTCGCTGCACAAGCGACGGAGACGTAGAAACTGAGAGAAAAGAATGGCATTGAGAGTATGCTTAGGGCGAGAAGAGATAGGTATTAGTATTCGCAGAGTATTCGCGGTATTCGCACAAAAGTCACTATTCGGGTTTTATCACTTACCAGATAGGAGTGAGAATCAGTAGGCTTAGACAAATTGCTTAGAGCGGATTTCGTATGAGTGGGACACCTTTACCGCACGGTTACCGCACAGTTACCGCACCTGGCCTGCAGAATTTTGGTGAAACAATGGGGAACTAGAATTTGGTTACAGTACGATTACGGACACAGTACAGTACCGTCCGTTTCCCACTCATACGAAATCCGCTCTAGAATGCACACCAGTAGTAGTTCTAAGACGATTGTCAGTAATATTGACTACAATGTCAAGAAAAGTGACTGACGTATCAATAAACTCAGGTTTAGGACCGGTATATTGCTGAAAGATAAGCATAACAAATTAGCATAACTAGGGCCCATTTTGGTGCCCATAGCAATGCCATTTATTTGCTTGAAATACTGATCATCAAACGAAAAACAGTTAAGAGTGAGAGAAGGCCTATCTGAAGCATATTTGCATATTAGTGTTTCTGTTTACTCTATTTACTGTACACTCTATCATTAAACGTTTTTAAACGTTTAATTATTTAGAAATRTTTAATAACGTTTAATAGTTTAAAAACTATTGGCCTTGAATCCAAAACGCGGTCTGTGCCGCGTCAAATTCTCACTGCCGTTCTTACTCAATAGTGCAGCTGAAATAAAAAATTACAGAGTATTTAAACTACTACAAAGAAGGAAAGAACCAGGTTTGCGTRAGACAAAAAAAGAAATAAAATAAAAAAGTCCTACTCGATAAGTACTCAAATTAAGTACTTAAAAGACGTAGGAATAACACTACCGGAGTGTCAGGTTCTTTTATATACTAGCGAGTCATAATTTTCGATAATAATAGGCCCGGTTCGCACTAGACTGACAAAGTTTGTCCGGCCCAACTAAAATACCTACCAACATTTGGCCCGGTCAAATTCTCTGTTTTTAAATCACATTCGCACTACAGCGGCCCGTACACCGGCTGCAACCACAAACGTCAATCAAATAACCTCTCGTATTTCTCACTTTGGCTATAACTTTCGGTATCTTGCTCAAAAATCGTGCCATTTCAATAATTAAGAGGTTTTTGGTTATGTATTTTACATTTACGAGCCTTTTAGATCCCTTTAGATCGTAAATTTATAAACTACCGTCTTAACAACACTAGGTGCTAATTGACAAATCTGTCCGTTTTGACGTTTGGCCTAGCTTTGGAGGGCTCCAGAGCAGCCTAGCGGCGACTTTGAAGATTGTTCGGCCAGGACAAATTTTGTCCCGGCCGAACAAACGCATTCGCACTTGTTTCCTGTTACCGTTGACAGTTTTTTTGGTAAAACAAACAAACTTTTGCCTAGTGCGAACCGGGCCTAACGCGACCCGTCCCTTTAAGTCAAGTATTTTCCTACTCGTTTCTAATCCCTTTTGATTTCCGGAAATGCGAATACAATAGCTAAGTTATAAAGATAGATGATATAAATACGTAACCCCGGTGTGCGGACGGGCAACAAGTATATGGAGTTAGAAAGACTCTAGTGCTTCTCAAAGATAGCATTGCCGTGGGCACATTGTTCGCCCAGTGAAAGTCACTTTCAGTATATAATCAAAGTGATGACTATTGATATGAATGATAATTATTCAAATTCGTCTAATAACTATTCTCATAGTGTAAGGAAGTCACCTACATTATAGCAGTACTAAGATACACAATACCCGTAAATTGAGCAAGATATAAGCAGTGAATATTAAATTTGTGAAGGTATAATTGATCATTTTATGGGCATTTATCCTACTCTAACAAAAGTGTTAAGTATAAATAGTACATACTTGTTACGAATTGTTGTTGATCTGTTCAGTCACGTCTTTTGTAAGCCGTGACCTCTGAGAGTCGTTTCGAGGACTGATAACTCCCGCTGAGACTGACTGATATATCAGTTCCGCGCCAATCAAAAAGAAGCAATAGATAACTCTACTCAAAAAGTAGATAACTCTACTCAAAAAATAGATAACTCTACTCAAGATATTGATAACTCTACTCAAGAAATAAATAACTCTACTCAAGATATTGATAACTCTACTCAAGAAATAAATAACTCTACTCGAGAAATAGATGACTCTACTCAAAAAATAGATAACACTACTCAAGAAACAAATAACTCAACAAATAGATATCTCTACCCAACAAATCGATAACTACTCAAGAAATAAATAACTCTACTCAAGAAATAAATAACTCTACTCAAGCAATAAATAACTCTACTCAAGCAATAAATAACTCTACTCAAGAAATAGATGAGATGCGCAGTCGTGTATTTAGTGGTTCACGGTTTGAGCCCAAGATGCCCCGTAAATTTATTTTCTTCATTTTTTTAGTAATTAATAAAAATTAATTAATTGTTCGAAACTTTTTTTTTTCTTTCAAAGTGATCAAATTTGCACGTGAACATGCATTTAGATGAAGGTTAATCTCGCTTCTGATTGGTCAATGAACRATAGACATTCMAAAAAAAATTGTAGTCCTAGTCGGTTATGTCGTTTCGATTTAGAAGGTATATAAGAAGGATATCTCACTGCATTGTTGACTATATAACATTGTTKGAATTTCCAATTCCAAACCTTATCTGTTCTAAATAACCTGACTTTCAACTATGTGTTTTGTCATCGGCTGACTGTTTACATAAATAACGAATTGATATAATATGAAAGAGGGATAACGCGAATAGTTCATATATGAACAGGACGAAAAGTCATGCAGTCAGACAACAGAAGTGGTGAACGTTATTTTTTAATACTGGTAACCATGGCAACATCTGTCATTCCTTTTGGTATCAATTATGGGGAGGATATGGATATGGATACGGCGAAGGGTACGGAGAAGGATAGGGCGAAGGGTACGGAGAAGGATAGGGCGAAGGGTACGGAGAAGGATAGGGCGAAGGGTACGGAGAAGGATAGGGCGAAGGGTACGGAGAAGGATAGGGCGAAGGGTACGGAGAAGGATAGGGCGAAGGGTACGGAGAAGGATAGGGCGAAGGGTACGGAGAAGGATAGGGCGAAGGGTACGGAGAAGGATAGGGCGAAGGGTACGGAGAAGGATAGGGCGAAGGGTACGGAGAAGGATAGGGCGAAGGGTACGG